GAGAGAGAGAGAGAGAGAGAGAGAGAGAGAGAGAGAGAGAGAGAGAGAGAGAGAGAGAGAGAGATTAATATAATCTTTCCTAAAGTTGTGATGTTTACCTGTACATTATTAAATAAACTTATTAAAATGTATGATATCTAGTGCAAATCTTCGTCAACCTTCCACAAGAAACACAAATCATCAAATACATGTAAAACAAAGGAAAAATAGCTGGTGGTTTCACATGCATATAATCACAAGGGTAAATTAATGAACGTGGTACCTAAACCACGAAATAAGATAACAAAAACCCATTGTGAAAACTCACGAAACCTAGCTTCGACCTATCAACAAGAGGAAACAATCCACGAAAAACTGTCATACATTTCAAGGTACGGGCTGCTATTAATTCTTCAGGAGTACTTGAAAAACCCAACAATGGGGATGAATGGTCTCTGTTGATTGGCATAAAGCTCCTCCTTCTGAACTATAAATGGAAAACAGGAAACCGACTAATTAACCACCACAACTACATGGAAATTTTGAACTTTTAAATGCATTTCATCAGTGTTCATATAGCTAGTTGCAGGTGCTTTACAAGGTCTGTTGGCGTTATGCAAAAGCCATCCTCAATCTGCACAAATAGAAGTAAAGGGAACTGCACATATTTAAATGTTGATACAAATTCTATTTCCAGATAACTTTTTAGTACAAAAACTTGACGTAGAAATATTCTTAAAAGCTAAATATATAATTCCAGAATCGAAGGAGTCTAATATTAGAGGAGATAACAGAAGTTAACGTCATTTTTATATGTTCACAAGCCGAAAAGACCTAGTCGTAAAAGATCCAAGTTGTTTGTTAACCTCTCAAATTATCAAATAGGTATAACTTCCCAACAAGTAATATAACAATAGTCAACTACATCAATCTGAATGATTGATAAGGAGAGGTGTGGACTAATATTTTTCGTGGTATCATGAATCTTGATTAGGGTTTCAGAATTTATGTACCTGAGAAACAATATTGATTAGAAGTCTGGTCTTAGCAAACGGCATGGCACTGCTACTGATGGTCGTCAATCCAAGCTTCTGCATCTGGTTTAATGCTTTCACAAAGGAAGAGAAGTTTTTTTCGCACTCAATTTTTACAAGAACACTGCTTCCTGATATCCGAACTTCAATCTCAGGAGATAATTTGAAAGGATTAGTATTATCACAGGAATTCGTGTCATCAGTGGAGTAGTATTCATCATCACTAGTACTAAGCCTAGATCTTTTCATGGATATAACAGATGATTGAACATTCTTTCTCTTAGGGCCTGATAATCCCTCCAATTCCTTCACCCGACCTTGAAGTTCTTTTATGTAATTGGATGCATCTTCTAGCACGGATGCCTTATCCATCTAAAAAAGATATTACATCAAATATTATTTAAGAGTTGTTTCGAGTGTACTAAAATGGATAAACTCAAGATGATTAAGAAACCTAATTATAAACAAAATAAGAAACAAGTAAGCACCTTCTTAAGGCTTGGGAGTAGCGAAGATAAAGAAATGAAGTGTTTATTCAACTTCTCTCTTCTTTTCCTCTCTGCCAAAACATGATCTTGTGCCTGAATCAGATTCCGGGCAATCGTTGGAATCTTTGTAGCGCTAGTAGATTCATACCCAAGTGAATCGTTAATCTGGATGATCTTATTTGTAGATTTTAGATCGCCAAAAGATATGGTGAAAGTGTTGGATGAAGGAAGATTAGTAGCAATAAGGGGTTTTGGGGTTGAAGAATGCTTCTTATTTGTTGTGCATGTTTTATGAAAAGATTGGTCGACAGACGTCATGTTTTCTGTATAGCTTTGAGAGGACAACGAATCAACACTGAAGCTTTCAATAGTGTCATAGAGTGTGCTCATCTGATCATAATTCATGAATCTTGAATCTTCCATTTCCTACAATAGAAATCCGAAATTCCATTAATATATATATTAATGAAGATTATATTTCTTTAATGACAACTCTACAATACGCAAAGCGATCGAAATCTATCCCAAAAGCTATGAACTAATGATAAAAATAATCAAGAACTGATGATATGGATCTATACGCTTGTTAAAAGAACGATCTTGACGGATCATTCTTAATTTCGTGAGCTAGAGTGATCAGATGGCAGAAAGATTTACCGTTGGAAGAAGTAGCGAGTTAATTTTCTTGTCAATTCAATGACAAAGAGAAGAAATTCCTTTATTTTTATATTGTAGCTAGATGCCTAGATAATGTTGTTTATTCAACCCGGGCATGTGCAAACGCAAACTCCGTGTCTTGCTAAAAATAGTATTTCTTCTGATGATCTGATCATTTGATTCCAAAAAACGTGCTATATCCATATACATATTTTAATCCTATGCCTTAGATTTACGGTCAAAGAAAGCCAATCAGACGTTATGGGGGTGATAACTTTGAAGCACATGGCCGTGAGTTGCTATCTTGGGTGACATAAGGACTACAAACATGGTTTATATTTAACCAAAATGATTACTTGTTAATTAAATACTAAAACCTGCAACGAAAGATTAAAGGTATTCATTTTTTTTTTGGAATAGCCAAACCAAGCTTCGCTTACATAAAGGCAAGCACAACAAAGATAATGACTTAAAAATGATAATATGCTTTTCGATTTTTACACATTTTGTCACTATGGTGTTGTTTGTTTTTTTTTCTACAATCTTCTTGACCTCTTTTGTCAGTGTAGATCAAACACGCAAACATTAGTCTTTGCAGAATGTTTGTTGTTTTTCAGAAGATTACAGACCTTAAAAGGTATGCGTTTTAGTCCAGACTGTAGACGTTTTCTCCACTTCCTCTATAGCAGATGTCTGCTGATAAGGTCCGCAGAGTGCATACATTTTGCCTAAAAAAACAAACAACACCAACGATTTTTTCATTCATATATACCCCTTCAACTTGTTTAAACTGTACACATTGAGTCCTTATGACTGGCTACTTCAGGTAAGCCCAAAAAAATTATTTAATAGGGTAATATATTTCTCAATTTGTGAACATGTAGTCCAAAATATTTTTTTGCACATCCTATGTAGTACAATCATTATAAAAGTTGTTTAGAACTGTTCATGCTTATGGTCACCGCGACCTCGGCTTCTTGGTTGCTTAGGTGTTATAGTTTAGTAACTTCTTTATTTGATCTTGGCTTTTAAAGATCTTTATTTCCACGGGTTTGTATTCGAGTCTACTACCACTTTCGTTTAATTTACTGTAACACCCATTTTAAAAAATAAATCGGTTGAGGGTTCAAAAGTATTAAAGGTAAGTTTTTGGGAAAAACCTAGTGTCACTACATGATGAATGCGGTGTCATGACGTGATGTGCCAATTGGATGATTCGTGTTTCAGAATGGTTGTCACGACGTGACACATACAGTGTCACGATGTGACAACTACTGCATCCTAAGCCCATGAATTTTTAGGGTTTCTCCCATATTTAAAGTCATTAACTCATGACGTAGGATATCGTCTTCAGCCTCCAACCCCTCTCAACGAAATCCTAACCTCTATTGATGAATCCTTGAACTTTTGATGGTGTTTTGGTGACTTGAAGGAGAAGGGGTCATCATTGGTGCTTAGATCCAACTTGCAAGCCTTATTTTCATCTTCTAGCAATTTCTCTAGACCTTTGTGAGTATGCAAACATCAAGCTTTATGATTGCTTGTTGTTAAATCTAGATTTTTATGTGTTATTTTCCATGTTAAGGCTAATTGGAGTGTTAGGATTCCATAAAGTTGGCAACTTTATGGATCCTTAGAGCCCTTTTGTGGTTAAATGTGCTATATCAGAAGATTGGTGGAGTTTTGACCCTTGCATGGGGTGTTGACCTCTTTTTCATCATTTGTGACCTAATTTAAGTGGAATATCCAGATTACTTGAGGTATTTCTAATTTATTTATGTAATTTAGAATGTTGAGTCTAAGATGCCACTGCGTGCTGGACGCACTACCATGACGTGGCATATCTGGAGTGTTCGCAGGTTTTAAGTGGTTCCTACGGCCTGGTCGTATGTTGGCAATGGCGTGGTGTAACATCCAGAATCTTGAAGAGAAATTGTTGAGAATAACCCTATTTCTAGGCCAACTCGACGAGTTGGAGGTACCAACTTAACGTGTTGAAGATGGAAGAATCGCGGGAATTTAAATGAACCAACTCGACGAGTTGAGGAGCCTCAAATCGGCAATTTGGCAGCTGGGAAGGAAACCCTAATTTTTAGGGTCTTGCACCCTATTTAAAGGCCTTAAGTCCATTTTCTAGCCTCCTTATCAGCCTCCATTGTTATCAAAACCCTAAATCGAATTGTAGCCTCCATTATCAAGTTTTTTGTAGCCTTGGAGGGAAGTTTGGTGTTCATTTTGTGCATTGTGAAGGAATATGAAGATCTTGAAGTTTCTAGCTTGGGGAAGGAAGTCTTGGATCCAGAATCACTCCATTTCTTGCACTCACTTTAAGGTATCAAGTTCACACATTGATTTGTAGATGATTAGATCTCCTCATTTTGGGTTTTGTTGTATTTTCGCCTCTTTTTGGGGATAATGATGGAGTGAAGTGATTTAAAGGTTTGTTCTTTCAGATCTGAGTTAGTGGTACCCTTGAGCTTAAAGGTGCAAACTTTATGAGGATTTTGGGGTCATGCATGTATTAAGTCAATTATTAAGTCCATTCTATGCTTAAGAGCTTCATTTAGACTTGCAGGAACGTAAAGTTGGCAACTTTACGTGGTTTTCCAGCTCAAGGAAGTCAGATCTATGTTTTGGAGTCATGTCCTTATAGATTAAGTGCTTAATGTACTAAGATGTGGGTTTCTGGCGAACTCGCTCAGTTTATGGATAAACTCGGCGAGTTGGCTCAGTTTCCCCCGACATTTTCATGTTGATAGAGGAACTCGGTGAGTTTGTTGGTCAACTCGGTGAGGTGGCTTGGTTTTTCCCAATCTGTGCAGTTGATGGAGAAACTCGACGAGTTGAAGGATAACTCGACGAGTTGGGTCAACTTGGACCGTTGACTTTGACTCTCGATTTATGTCTTTGAGCAAGTTTGTCCCAAGGGATACTTGAGGGTACTTGAGACCACCTAGTACGTTGGGCGTACTAGGCACAGAAGGAAAACCCTAATTTGGGTAGTGCCCCTATTTAAAGAATGAGATGGTCTCATTTCTAGCCACCTTCCTCAGTCAATGAACCCTCCCAAACCCTAATATCCTTTCTTGAGCTTGTGTGTGGCCATGTTGAGCTTATATGTCTTCTTTTGGGCTCTTGGGAGTTAAGAAGGAGCATGGAAGAGAATGGAGTTGAAGTCCAGGCTTTGGATCTGAGTTTTCCTGGGGCTAGAGCACCATTTGAAGGTATAAAGCTCCAAGCTTTCCCATTCTTTTTGTTTTGTGCATGTTAGGGTCCATTTTAGAGTTTTGGCCCCAAAGATTGAGGCTTTATGAGTTGATGCACTCCAGAGCTTAATAACCTGTGCTTTTAAGTGTTTCTTGTGGTGAGGAACCATAAAAATGGGGTCTTGATCGTGTGAATCGACCCATGCATGATCTAGGAGCATTTTGAGTTAAGAAAGTAAGAGTTTTTATGTGTTGAGACCTTATCAGCCATGCAAAGGCCTAAAGTCATTAACTTTATGGAGTATGAGACGTTAGGAAGTCCAGATCCAAGAGAGGAGTTAAGGTCTTAGCGGGTTAAGACCCAGAAAATGGATTAAGCCAAACTGAGAGTACGCGCTGCGTAATTCCAGTACGCTCCACGTACTGGGTTGAGGTCCCCGATCAGTTTCAGGCGTGCTTGGGTACGCTGAGCGTACCAAGGAGGTACGCCCCGCATAACCTCTCTGTGGACTTTTGGACTAGACTTCATTGTTGGGCCTTAAGTGTTGGGCCTGAATCCTTGGGTCGGCGTATTTGATTCCATGAGCAGAGAAAGTATATAATTATTCCTTGGGCCCTTGTGTTGGGCTTGTCTTGAAGGTTGAGGTTGGCCATTAGGGAACCCATTTATTATTGGGGCTTGGTGGGCCCAATGGGTTTAAGGCATTGATGGACCGGTAGGTGGTCTACCTTTAGACCAATGAGTGAGAGTTTGGGATGAGTTTCTAATTGCGATAATTATGGGTTGGCAGAGTTAGTGGCCGGGGCGGAGCAGCAGCGGTTATAAGGGCTGATCATCATCCAAGGTGAGTCTTCTCACTATACTGTACCTGGAAAGGTACCTATGTGTGACCGAAAGGTCTTTTATGCTATGATGTGTATGTATTGTATGTTGTTATGTGATATGTATGTGTTATGTATGTTATGATGTGGGCCGGAAGGTCAAGAGGATATAGACCGGAAGGTCAGAGTGATATGGACCGGAAGGTCATTACAGGTAGGGCTAGAAGGTCTACCAGGGTTATGGGACGGAAGTCCCCTGAGACACAGGGACCGGAAGGTCTTATAGCCTTGAGTGGCGTATGTGCGTATGTGGTATTTTTGGGAACTCACTAAGCTTCGTGCTTATCGTGTTATGTGTTATGTGTTTCAGGTTTTCTCAGTATCGCGGGATGGCATCGGCTGGATTGTACACACATGAGCAAGAATTATGTTTTGAGGATCCTGGATTGTTAATTAATCAAATATGGAGTTATGTTTTGAAAATTGAACAAATGAGATTGTTATACAAAGTGTTATGAAAAGTATGCATTTTAAAGTGAAAAATTTGTTTTGGAAAATTTACGTTGTTACAAGTTGGTATCAAAGCCTTTGTTTGAGGGATTTGGATGCACCTTCGGGTAAATCTGGACTCAAACTGAGGATTTGAGAAAGATTTTCAAAGAAATAATTTTTCTAAAGCAAACAGGAGTTTTGAAGATAAAACGAGAAAAGAGCAGTGTGTACAATCAGCCAGAGCCCGAACGGTGATTTCCTAAAATACCCTTACTTATGTATTATGCGATGTTTATGTGATATGTTATGAGATATTATGCATGCTAGAGATGGTCTCGGTATTTCATATTTTAGGACTAGAGTGGCCTGATGTGTGATGCCTTAGCCTAGGGGTTTTTGTTATCTGTAATGTGCTTTCGAGTATGTGCTGAGTAAGAGTATCCAGCATGAATCCTTTTTAGAGAAGGATTTTAGTAGAGGAGTAATCTAGGAGAGATACCTAGATGAGCTCGTATGGAGTCTACAGAGAGAGTAGACAGATGGCCGCATGGGGCGGAGTTGCATGAGTTCGGTGATATCCTCCGAGTATGAGGAGAGCAAGTGGGATCATAACCTGGAGAGGTTTTATGTGCTAGTGGAGACTATTCGATGCCCGAATGTTGCTTGCTTTTTGCTTTGTGGAACTCTCGACGATGGGAGTCAGCTACTAAGTGAATATGATGATATTCAGGAAGTAGATGGCTGGCATCATTAGGAGTTTTTCAGCAGCTGATGGCGGAGAAGTGTGAGGACCTAGGAAGAGCCTAGGGTGACCATGGTCGGATGAGTGCGCTGACAGAGTAGAGCATTTCGCTGGGAAGCGAGCACACGTAAAGAGATTGATA